AGGGGGCAGTGAGGTGGGGAGGAAAACAAAACAAATTGTTATTTTCTTTTGAGAGAATAAAAGCAGATTGACACAATAAGAGTCATCCAGTGCACGGGGCAAGCAAGACAGACAGACAGAAAGAAAAAACAAAAGAGGGAAAGAAAAATAGTAGGGCCTTACACTGAAGTCCCTCAATCATAAGCAGAAAAGAACAAGCACATAATAAATAATTACAGACCGAAATGTATATTAGCAGGAAAGGGGGCGTTGCTTTGGAAAGAAAGGAAAGGACAGGGGAGCGTTTGGGAGGGTAAGGGGCGTGGTTAAGGAGAGGGGCGTGGCTTGTGAGGGAGGGGACATGGTTTGGGAGAGGGAGGTGGCAAGAGGGGCGTGGCCACATATGTGAGGGGTGTGTCTTATGAGGGATGGGGCGTGGTTTGTGGCAAGAGAGGCGTGGTCATAGAAGTGAGGGGGCGTGTCTTATAAGGGAGGGGCGTGGTTTGAGGCAAGAGAAGAGGTGTGGTCATAGAGGTGAGGGGAGTGTCTTATTGGAGAGGGAGTGGCCATAGAGGTGAGGGGGCAAGTCTTATAAGGGAGGGGCGTGGTTTGAGGCAAGAGAAGAGGTGTGGCCTACCTGCCGGCTCCGTCTCCTCGTCGGTGGTGTCGTCCTCAGTGCCGGAGGAGGAGATGTTGGCCGACTCCTCGCCTGTGACAGGACAGAGACATAACGGGCTGACGTCAGCACGGGAATGGGCTAACACTGGCTTGTACAACAAGGAGCAGAACAAGAAAGAAAGAAAGAAAGAGAAAAAGAAAAAAAAGAGAAAAGGAAAAAAAGAAAGAAAGGAAGGAAGAAAAGAAAGAAAGGGGGGAAAAAACATTTGAAAGCCAAAAAAGACGGAAAGAACGAGGAAAAAAAAGAAAGAATGAGTGAAAGTCATAAAAAAGAAGAAAGAAAAAAGAAAAAAAAAGAAGCTAAGAAACACTTTGGTTTTTAGAACGAATAAAAAGATGTACATCGAAACAATAACAACTGCCATTCAGGGTTAGGAAAACGAAATAAAAAAACCCAGCCGAACTCGCATTAATGGCCATCTACACATATCAATCCCCTATACAGACAACCTTTTCTCCTCGACAATGGGTGGCAGTCTTGGACAATTTCAACTGTACATTAATTACATAGCCAAAAGGGAAGGAAACAGACAGGCACATCGAGCAGAATTCCCACATAGGTAAGTACAGTGGAAACAGCTCAAAACGGCCACATATCATTCTCGAGAAAAAGAGAAAAGGTGCAATCCTCGTACAAC